ACATCCGCGAAGTCGAAGATTTAGATAAGGCCTTCATTTAGAGGGACAGCAGATGTTATGTTGGAAACATCCGCGAAGTCGAAGATTTATATCCGGGTACCTAAGACCGGATTTTAGTTCATCTAAAAATGTGTTTGCCGACTCCGTACTGACAAATCACTTGACGTCATCTTAAACTACATTCTCCTTGGGCCGGACAAAGCCCACGTGATTGGCTAAGCCCATTCAGATTTAAAAAAAAAAAAAAAAAAAAAATAAGTCCTGGTGATCTCATGGTTCAGGATCGCGTTTGTCATTCGATAACCGGTCAATAAAATCCTACTCCGAGCATGAAAAGAGTTCTAGAAATCGACTTCGTTATAGAGTTGTTGAACGTACCTACGATTATTTTTTTGAAGATGGGGGGGGGGGAGGGGGGGTTGGCTGAAATAAATATTTTTTTTAATGAAACTTGTTACACGGCCATCAAACTATGTTTGCTCCTTCTGACCTTGAACTTCACCGAATAAGTTGCGTACAGCCAAGGGGTTTGGTAAACTACTATGGAAGGTTTTCACAGTTCTGCTTAAATATTTCTTAAAACTGCGATTTACAACAAAAAAAATACATGCTTTATACAGTGTCCAAGATGTTTTTTTCAACCCCTCAATTGTAATAATATGTCAACGGTTGTCAAAATGTGCGGCAAGGTCTTTGTGCGGCAAGGTCTTTGTGCGGAAGGATCTTTGTGCGGCAAGGTCTTTGTGCGGTAGGATCTTTGTGCGGCAAGGTCTTTGTGCGGCAAGGTCTTTGTGCGGCAGGATCTTTGTGCGGCAAGGTCTTTGTGCGGAAAGGTCTTTGTGCGGCAGGATCTTTGTGTGGCAGGATCTTTGTGTGGCAGGGTCACTTGTGAGGCTGTACGGCAGGGGGCTCTGCGGTGGGGCGGCAGGATTGTTGTGTGGCAGCAGTTGCTGCGCGTTAGTGTGGCTTTACAACAGTGTGACAGGATGGCTGTGTAGGAGGATGGCTGTGTGGCAGGATGGCTGTGTAGGAGGATGGCTGTGTAGGAGGATGGCTGTGTGGGAGGATGGTTGTGTGGCAGCAGTTGCTGCGCGGCAGTGTGGCTGTACCACAGTGTGGCAGGATGGCGGTGTGGGAGGATGGCTGCGTGCCAGGATGGCTGTGTGGGAGGATGGCTGTGTGCCAGGATGGCTTACTGCCATGATGGCTGTGTGCCAGGATGGCTGTGTGGGTGGATGGCTGTGTGGGTGGATGGCTGTGTGCCAGGATGGCTGTGTGCCAGGATGGCTGTGTGCCAGGATGGCTGTGTGGCAGGATGGCTGTGTGGGAGGATGGCTGTGTGCCAGGATGGCTGTGTGGCAGGATGGCTGTGTGGGAGGATGGCTGTGTGCCAGGATGGCTGTGTGGCTGTGCGGTAGCATTGCTGCGCGGTAAGGTGGTTTTGAGGCCTTGGAATGGGGGGGGGGATATGGGATAAATCTTGGGCTGTTCTTCAAACGTCAATAACACAACACAGTGTTTCAACACTAAACTAACCCAGGCTCATTTGTGTCGAATGACTTATCAAACTAAGATGGTGGCTTATCCAAGTGGAAGGACTTAGTCAAGATCGGATGGTGGCTCTTCTAATTAAAAGGACTTAGTCAGGATTGGATGGTGGCTCTTCTAATTAAAAGGACTTAGTCAAGATCGGATGGTGGCTCTTCTAATTAAAAGGACTTAGTCAAGATCGGATGGTGGCTCTTCTAATTAAAAGGACTTAGTCAGGATCGGATGGTGGCTCATCCAAGAAAATTAAACTCTGACTAGAAATAGCCGCACTTTTTTTTGGCTTACTTCCCCTTGTAATTCTCCTTTTGGGTGATCACTAAAACATTTTTAGGACATCCCCCTCAGTAGAATGTGGTCCGCATCTTTTAAAAGAAATACTTAGTTAAAAAAAAAGTTCCTTACGATTAAGTTTAATAAAAGTTAAACCAAGATGTACCGGTCGGCTTGCATGGTGTTTGTTAGCGCATCATGGTTTAGGTCATCGGGATGTCAGAACGGGTGTAAGTCAGCACGTGTGTAAGTCAGCACGGGTTTAAGTCAGCACGTGTGTAAGTCAGCACGTGTGTAAGTCAGAACGGGTGTAAGTCAGCACGTGTGTAAGTCAGCACGTGTGTAAGTCAGCACGTGTGTAAGTCAGCACGTGTGTAAGTCAGCACGTGTGTAAGTCAGCACGTGTGTAAGTCAGCACGGGTGTAAGTCAGCACGTGTGTAAGTCAGCACGTGTGTAAGTCAGCACGTGTGTAATTGAGTGTATAATTTCATATGAAACAATTTAACGCCTATGAGTTTATAATTTCATATGAAACCATTTAACGCCTATGAGTGAATAATTTCATATGAAACCGTTTAACGCCAATGTGTTTATAATTTCATATGAAGCCGTTTTAACGCCAATGAGTGTTTTCAAGGGTGTGAGAATCACTGTTGTCAGTACGAACGCTGTTTGGGCCCGTGAGTTGTGTTACGAGAGTTACTGTTGTGTTTGAATGATCACTGGATGACGGGCATAGAATACTAAACAAGAGTCTGTGTCCCAGTATTCAATGTGCCTTGTGTGTTCGTTGATGGAAGAGTGTTGCAGATTACCATTGATAAAACGTTGCCGGAAATTCTCGAAGACGCCCAGCTAGAGTAATAGACTATAAAGTTTAACAAGTCTGTATTTTCATATCAATGCCGCTACACGTCAATTAGTGAATATTTTCATGAATATTTTGGACACTTCCGAATATATCTATTACGGAAAATCATTTTCTTTCATTAACATTTTTGTTGACGTTAATCGCAATTTACCGTGAAGCCACGCAATTAGGTTACCCTAAAAAAAAAAAAAAAACAAGGAAAGATGGCAACACACTGTGTGTTATACACACTGTGTGTTTTACACACTGTTATATTTCTAAACACAAGCCTTAAAACGAGGCCAGCGAATTGAGTTATTTTCCTTCTGTGGCTAAAGGATTTGTCCTTTAATGGCGGAAACCTATTATAAGAAAATCTGGGCATTCCGTTTGGCCTATCTCATTAAACGACAGAAAGATTTTAATAAAACATCCGGGTATTCCGTTTGGCCTATCTCATTAAACGACAGAAAGATTTTAATAAAACATCCGGGCATTCCGTTTGGCCTATCTCATTAAACGACAGAAAGATTTTAATAAAACATCCGGGCATTCCGTTTGGCCTATCTCATTAAACGACAGAAAGATTTTAATAAAACATCCGGGTATTCCGTTTGGCCTATCTCATTAAACGACAGAAAGATTTTAATAAAACATCCGGGCATTCCGTTTGGCCTATCTCATTAAACGACAGAACGATTTTAATAAAACATCCGGACATTCCGTTTGTATTGGATGGGGGGGGGGGACCCAACCCTGGACAACTTTTTCCACCACAAAAGTATCATGGGTAGTAGCTTATCATTCTTTTTTTTTTGTTTACAGAGACGTTTCAGGATTTCAGAGTAGACAGCTGTGAGGAGATTTTTAACCAGGGCATCTTCTACCACGGCAGCTACTACACGCTGAACGGGTCGAAGATTTATTGTAACTTCAACGGTAGGGTATTGTCAGTTCTGTCAGCCGGTAAGCAACCGTCACATGGTTACGTTGTGCGGTCTAATAAATAAACAGTTTCGCATTCCGTCATTCAGAGAAAGCGGCCCGCGTCTATTTCCATGGCCGACATCTTGGTTGCCTCGACCCGCGCACTTTTACGTGTTCACGGGTCGAGGCAACCAGGATAGCGGCCATGGAAAAATAAAATAATTCATGTTTGCTAAATTTAGGAAGAAAACGTTAAAAACTTATGAAAAAAATGTGTTAAATCGATCCCTATGCCTAACCAGAATCCTAAATTACTAAACCTATCCCTATGCCTAACCGGAACCCTAAGTCACTAAATCTATCCCTATGCCTAACCCGAACCCTAAATCACTAAACCTATCCCTATGCCTAACCCGAACCCTAAATCACTAAACCTATCCCTATGCCTAACCCGAACCCTAAATTAAAATCGATCCCTAAATCCTACGCCTAAAGCCACTAGTAAAAACACGTAGAATTTACGTAATATGGCAAGAAAATGATAAAAATTAACCCCAAAAAAATGCCAAAAATAATTACAACATAAAGAAATGATGAAAATCCAACTTACAGTTTCATGAAATACACTTTTACACACTTTATTTCAGGTTCCAACGCAAATATAGCCACAAAATGAATAAATCTCCACACCCCACAGGCACCCCAAAGATATCAAAGATGGCGCAGCCAAATAAAAATGATAATGAGCCAACCAATCAAAATTTTAAAATTGTAATTAATCAACCAATAAAATTTTAATTCCGAAAATGTAACTCTTTTTACAAAAAAATACACACAAAAAAAAAAAAATAAGGGGAGTGAATCCAAAACAAAGTCGTCGTGGGCTGCTAAATCTGAAATAGCCCTGTCATCTAACAAACGGTNCCCCCCCCCCCCGTTTACTAAACACTGAAGACTTCAGCCCATCTCGGATTATTTGAAACAGTTTGTGAAATACACTACACTAAACTCAAATTTTAATAATAGAAATATCACATTTCTTCCCACGAGTGAAGTTACGCTTCTTTCATGAAGAAAAGGAAAAGCCTCTAAAAATAAAACTCTAAGCCTACATAGGTCAATGCACTTCAATAAACCAGTCAGCAACCTTATAGTTTACATAAACATGAGTCCACTTTTACAAATAACAAACCGTTTTCGATTAAGGTTTAACTATAATCATTGTTTCTTTTTTTTTTTTTTTTTTTTTTTTTTTTTTAACTTTTTTTTTTTTTTTTTTTTTTTTTTTTTTTTTTTTTTTTTTTTTTTTTTTTTTTTTTTTTTTTAAACGAATTTTTTTTTTTCGCCTTCTCCCAATAATTTCTAGACAACAACACAGTTTGCCAGGAGGGCTGGCTGTCATACGACGGCAACTGCTACCTGTTTGAAAACCAACTCATGGACATGGACGGTCATTTTAACAACTGTCTCGTTCAAGACAGTCAGCTGGTGTCTGTGGGAGATGCGGAGGAGTGGCAATTTCTGTCGGATGTTCTCAGTGGTGAGTGCATCAAAATGGTGGTCTTTTCATTCAACTGTGGAATTTTTCTGTCAGATGATCTCTATGGTGAGTGCATCAAAATGGTGGTCTTTTCATTCAAACGTGGAAAATCTGTCAGACGTTATCTATGGTCTTTTCATTCAAACGTTCTGTCTGATGACCTCTATAGTAAGTAAGGGCACCAAACTCATGGTGATCTTTTCATTCCAGCGAGTGTAAATTTTTTTTTTTTGGTCGGAAGTTCTCAAACAAACTCAAATGCTTAAGTCCCCGGTGTTCTTCGTCTATGAATCAAAGGTTCGAATATGCGAAGAATATGTTAAGATCAACCTGCTGATGTATCTCTTGACCCTGAAACTATGGGAGTCGCAGTGGAGGTCCTAAGGTTCGGAAGGAAAACTCCTACCACGAGAGCTTACCAAGAAAGACTCTATAATATTATGTCTTCAAGGGCGTAGGGTAGAGATTAAACTACGCCCCTACTTATGTTGACAATCATTCGAAGTTAAAAATTTAGAAAAATTGAAATAAATTCCATTTAAAAACTTAAAATTTTGTGATAAAGCTATTGTAAAATCTTAAAGTTTCTTATCTAAAAAATGAACATTTTGTCCTGTTTGAATGTTTCTTATCTAAAAAAATGAACATTTTGTCCTGTTTGAATGTTTCTTATCTTAAAAAATGAACATTTTGTCCTGTTTGAATGTTTCTTATCTAAAAAATGAACATTTTGTCCTGTTTTAATGTTTCTTACCAAGTAATGAAAATCCAAGAAACCAGCAAATTCTACATTGGGCTGTACGACATACAGCTTACTTTCTCTTACATGTGGACTGACGAAACAGCTGTTACATTCAGGTTAGTTACATGCTACTGTTTGTTACAGATACTTAATTGATACATCAAATGTTTGTTGCAAACAATATTTTTACAACACAATTTGTTACATTAGAGACATGTTACAGTTAAAATGTGTTACATTTAACATTTGTAACAGTTAATATTTGTTACATTTAAAAAACATTTGTTACATTTAATATTTGTAATAGTCAAAATTTGTTACATTTATAAATGTCAAAATTACTATTTGTTACAGTCAATATTTGTTACAGTTACTATTTGTTAAAGTTACTATTTGTTACGTTTAATATTTGTTACATTCAATATTTTTGTAACAGTCAATATTTGTTACATTTAATTTAATGCTGGCTACAGTTAAATTGGTTACAATTAATATTTGTTACATTGAATATTTGACACAGCATGCATTAGTTAAAATTTGGTACAGTTAATATTGTTGCAGTTAATATGTGTTATAGTTAATATGTGTTACAGTTAATAGTGATTACAGTTAACATTTGATACAGTTAACATTTGTTACAGTTAACATTTGTAACAGTTAAGTATTTTTTCAGGTAAAATGCCCTTAAAACGTGTAAAAAAACGTGTATAGTTACGTTATCAAATGACTTAGCAATGTGCCCATTGGACATTATACGTGACATATTTTTTTTTAAAGCTAATCAACTGTCACATCGTCTGACACATCGTCTGACACATAGTCTGAAACATCGTCTGACACATCGACTGACACGTCGACTGACACAGCGACTGACACATCGTCTGACACACAGTCTGAAACATCGTCTGACACATCGACTGACACGTCGACTGACACAGCGACTGACACATCGTCTGACGCAGTGACTGGCACATCCAACATGGCAACCAAATAATACACGTCTTGTTCACATGTCATTTGATTCTGCTTTTGTTTAAATCCTTTTGCCCTACTCACGATTAAATTCTTCATAAAGGCAATTGAAAAGATAGCAGAATTTTATTGACCAAGGAAAGTAGGGGAAAATTTTTTTAATGTGCTACGACCAATCTTCCTTTCCCTCCACCTTTCTTTTCACCGTTCCCTCCACTTTTCCCTCCACCTTTCTTTTCAACTTTCCCTCCACCTTTCTTTTCAAACTTCCCTCTACCTTTCTTTTCAACTTTCCCTCCACCTTTGTTTTCAACCGCCCCCCCCCCACCTTTCGTTCCACCTTTCGTTCCACCTTTCATTCCACCCTCGCCTCCACCTTTCGTCCCAACTCTCGTTCCACCTCCCCCTCCACCTTTCCTTCCACTTTTCCCTCCACCTTTCCCTCCACGTTACCTTCCATATTTGATGTGATCAAAATATTGTTTTCTTTTTTTTGTTTTTCCAGAAGGTTCGCTAAGGATTACCCCTCAGGGATCACCAATCGCTGTGTGGTTTTTGAGGCTGGGTCTATGAAGAATATTGATTGTGCGACATACGTAGGAGCCATCTGTGAGAAGTCAAAATGTAAGTGGCATTCGTGTGGTTCGTGTGGTTAGCCAATAATAACTTTTCTGTTTAAAGAGTATTGTGGTTTTGAGAGTGTTGAAAGTTTGGGAGGATTGTAGGTTTGAGAGCATTGAAAATTTGAGAGTATTGTAGGTTTGAGACTATTGAGAGTATTTAAAATTTGGGAACATTGTAGGTTTGAGAGTTTAAAAAATTTGAGAGCATTGTTTTTTCGAGAGTATTGTAGGTTTGAGAGTTTTGAACGTTTGCGAGCATCGTAGGTTTGAAAGTTTTGAAAGTTTGAGAGCATTGTAGGTTTGAGAGTATCGTTTGTGAAAAGTTATAATTGAGATATCGAGTTTTTAAATAACTTCTTTGGCTATTGTGTGTACCTAAATGTATTTAAACTTTAACACGACAGTTGCTGTCGGGTGTGCAAGGGCCGACCCAAAAAGTATCGAGCTCAAGAAGAGCTATACCAAGATGTCGATTCCCTTTTGTTTTGAGACCTGCCGAGCCTCCAACTTCAAATACTCTGCCACCAGGGGGACCTACTGCTACTGTAGTCCAGGCTAGTCAGCTCTTCTGAACTTATTTTATACTGCTTTAAGTACTAATGGCTCAGAACTTTAAACTCAGAATTTGCACCTTGTTGCAAATACAGTTTGATTATGTACCGGTACTCAAAACAAGAATTTAAGCATTTTTTTCCTCCAAATCTAGTGGGACCTTCTTTGCATAATTTTCATCCATATTTAAACGTCCCAATTTTTAAGTTAACTATGAATGGTGCACATATAGTTTAGGACTGCTATAAAGACAAACAATAAATGCCTAGTCATCTTTCAGAAGAAAAAAAGCTTGCCAAATAAGAGCAGTTGAAGATGTTATTTTCATTTACTGCAGTGCGGGGCGTGTTTCAAACGGTCGAGTGGCAGCTGTGTGACCTCCCCTGTCCGCGTCACAAGTACCAGACGTGCGGAGGGAACTCTTCTGATCTGTTTTATGTTACTTCTGGTAAGTCAGTGTTAGTGTTCTCGCATCAAGGCCACGTCTTATACGCCGGCTCGTTGTGTTCGCCTGCGCCATACAGTACATCTGCCGCCCTAGCCGCCACTAGGTCTGGCTTGGGCGCGAAGTCAGTAGGCGCTCCACCGTTTCTATGGCCGAGTTTGTAATGACCCCTGTTGGAGGACCTAGTCGGGCAAAGTTCCGTCCGCATGCCTGTTACCAAGATCTGCTGATGACGCTTCAGTTTTGACCAAGGTTCGAGATTGCTGGACCTGGATATGTTATAGTATATATATATATATATATATATATATATGCCTTATGTCATTATGGCTACGATGTATAGAGCTCGTATAACATTATCTATACGTACTCCTCGGTAAACACATATCTTTGTGTTTTGACCAAGGTTCGAGATTGTTGGACCTGGATATGTTATAGTATATATATATATATATATATATATATATATAGGCCTTATGTCATTATGGCTACGATGTCTAGAGCTCGTCTAAAATTATCTAAACGTACTCCTCGGTAAACACATTTCTTTGACTGAAGTCCGTTTATTTTCCCTTTATCTCTGGGCAGATTCTGGACAACCAAAGAGAGACGGTTGTCTTCCAATGATCTTGGGGTCTCTGCTGGCTAACGTGTCAATCCAAGCAGCCAACGGGAGCTTAGAGGTCGTGGACTGCCTCGAAGTGGCAGGAGGTAAGTCATGTGGGACTTATCTATAATACGGCAAGACTTAAAATTGAGCTGGTAAAATACAGTTATTTAGTTCGTTTTTGTTTGGAGAAATACCAAAATTTTAGCATGAAGTATAAAGTTGTAGTCGTATTCTTAAAATTGTTGTGCTAATGTATCTACTTTGGCAACTGAGTCTCAAAATTTCATGTATTGGTTGTCAATAATATTTCATTTTATCAGTATCTAAAAATTATTTTTTGTTATGTTTTAATATGATTATTATTGTCTAAAACTAGTTGTCTGCCCCGAGTCCTGGGTTGAAATCAGCGGTCACTGCTACAGATTTTTCCCAGAATCCATCCAAGATCCTGCGACGATGTGCATGAGTATTGGAGGCCACCTCGCTGTGTATGAGACCGAAGATGAGGCTTATGGCGTCCTCAATCTTATCAATTCAACTTTAATGTTGTCAGCCGTATGTGAGTACCGTTAAATGGTGTTTTAAGAGTCATCTTTTAGATCTGTGGCGCGCAACCTTCGGCCTGCGGCCCAGCGCACCATTTAATGCGGCCGGCAAGACCTCCTTCTAAGAACTAGATTGTTTTCGTCAAGTATACACTTTGTGATTATCTTTAAAAGCTTTTGGAAACTAATTATCAAGTTTCATATTACCAAATGAGTAATGATTTACACAGACAATTATAAAAGTATTCCACTGCTTGTTTGCGAACTGTGCTCTGAATAAAGTTTGGAATCATATCCTTCGTAACGTAAAAAATTATCATGCGGCCCGCCAAAACAAAACATTTCATGCGGCCCTCTGAACATAATGGTCGCCCACCCCTGTTTTAGATGTTGAGCTTTCAACATATTATTATCTGAACTGACATCATCAACATATCTTCTATACACCTGTACAGTGCTCACCTTTAAAAAAAAAAATAGCTTTTCATCCTTGCTTGACAAACTGAGAAATCAGAAAAGAACATTATGCATACGTTAGACTTTTAAACAAACTCAGAAAAAAAAATATGTTTAAAACTTTTTACTTGATACCCAAGTTTATAGGGTTGCAGGTTTAAAACAAAGTCTCCGTCATTCAGTCTACAAGTAATGGTGCGTAACACAATGTCATACAAATTTACTAAACAATTAAAAACAACAACAACATTATAACACGAAAAACTTGAAAGAGTAAGTACCTGGTATTTGAAAATGTAGGAACAAATGGTTTATTACTTTTGTTTTAAAGAATCAATCCTCAAATATTGTAAGTACCATTGATTTATTTTCAAAATAACATTATTTATTATGTATGCCAAATATTTATTTTTTTAAATTGGAATGTGTTTTTCTTCTTTCACTGCCAGCCAACTGGTTGTTTGGGTTGCTCGACCACAGAATGGAATCGTCCAACCCCCGGTACATCAACGGGGCGTTCGTCAATGAAAGTTTGAGAGTCGAGCTGGACTGGAAAAATACCTCTCAGACCCAGTGCTATGCGCACAGCAAAAGGGATTTCAGCAGCATCGTTGGCGTTGATTGTGCAAAGACACCTTACATATGCGAGAAGGGGCCTGGTAAGAAACAAACTGTATGTCTGCCGTGTATACGTATGTCGTTTGGGAAAGAGGGCAAGAATAAAATAGCATTCATTTAGGCCAGGCCGGCACAACTCAAAGTGTAAGGCGGGCCGTAATACTTTATGAAAAACGTGTGTGGGCCAAAAGAGAATAGGACATGGGGGAGAGCGATTAAGAAAGTAATAAGAATAAAGAATATTTTTTTACTTCGCGGGCCGCAAAGTGGGTGCTGGCGGGCCGCATGTGGCCCGCGGGCCGTATGTCGCGCAGGCCTGATTTAGCTAAAAAGTGTGTTAAAATACATAGGATAAATTATGGGTGAAAACTCACGTAAATCGTCTTGTTCTTTGGTGGATGCCCATGCTTATTACGACATGTCCTTCGCCCCAACAGACTACCTGGGCTGCAATGAAGATGTTGATCCAAAACTGGAACAAATTGAAGATTACGTGGATCTGACTCTAACTCAGTGCCTTGAGACCTGCAAGGGACAAGGTATGGCGTCAGCTCAGTCTTAGCTTCACTCAAAGTCCTCAGCATTTTTTTTCCTTCAAAATTTATAGTAAAACACTAATTTTTAATTGTAGGGTGTCTTGATGGTAACTTGTTAGTATAAAACCATTTTTACGGAGGGTGTCTTAATGATAGTCAGTATACAAATATTGTATATTTTATACTATTTAACGATACCATTGTGATTTCACACTGTGTTATTCCTGTGTAGGAAGTTTGAAACTTTTTTTCCCCTCCATTTTTTTAAAGCTTTGGTACTCTTATCAACTCATTATTTATAGTAAAATTTAAGATAAGATCTTATTTCTTCTCCTCTTCTCTTCTTATATTTGAGGTGCCCACGATCAATTTGTTGATCATTCTGGCTCCTGGTTTAAACTCAGAGTTTGCCTTCTCTTAGACAGGTTGCCGTCCAAGGCTAACGAGTCCCATCCACCCGGGTTGCTTGGGAATGGCTTTGGTAGGGATTGAACTCCAGACCACCAGCTATTTCGTTTGAGACAGTTTAGACCGCTCGGCCACCCAGCTTTTTCAACCGTCTTTTTTTATTTTATTTTACTAATTTAAAAAAAAATAAAATTATGACCTGTTTTAAAAATGTTGACTTGAGGATAGGCAGGGTATCAAAACCTTTGATATTAAAATTTGGGTTATGCATATCAATTTAAAACGTCAATGCAGTGGCGTATCTAGGGTTAGTGCCACCCGGGAGGAACACTATTTTACGCACCCCCGCCCCCACACCATCCTTTCCTTTCTGGAACAAAATAAGCAGCAGATGGCCGAAAATGCCGCCCCTCCAAATAATGAAAAAAAAAAAATATCCCCCGGGGGCGGACAGCCACCTCCGCACCACTCATTCCTACGCCACTGCGTCAACCATAACCCCACCGAGAAGAGGGCTGATGGTCTTTTTAATCCGTTCTTTAATCCATCAGTCTTGTTAAAATATTTTAAATTAATGTCTGAACTAAAAGCATTTGCACTGAACTCTTCAAGAAGGATATTCTACAACTTTAAAAAAAAAAAAAAATGAGTGAAATTGATTTTAGAACTGTAAAAAAAAATTTCTATCATTAAAACATAACAATATGTATGCTTTTTTATTTTACGGTGTAACAGGTAAAATATTAGCAGGTGTAAAATATCTGGCTGATGGTCTTTTTAATCCGTTTTTTAATCCATCAGTCTTTTT